GGAGATCCCTGGGATGGATCCCACCAGAAGCTTTGGAACACCAGGAGCCCTGAGGAGATCACCGGGATGGATCCCACCAGGAGCTTCTCAGGAGCTTCGGAGCACCAGGAACCATGAGGGGATCCACTGGGACTTGGTGGGATGGAGAAATCCTCTGGAATTGTGACGGATCCCACCAGGATCTTCTCCGGAGCTTCGGAGCACCAGGAACCATGAGGGGATCTACTGGGATCCACTGGGATGGAGAAATCCTCTGGAATTGTGACGGATCCCACCAGGATCTTCTCCGGAGCTTCGGAGCACCAGGAACCATGAGGGGATCTACTGGGACTTTGTGGGACGAAGAAATTCTCTGGAATGGTGGTGGATCCCATCAGGATCTTCTCCAGGGCTTTGGAGCACCAGGAACCATGACTGGGATCTACTGGATGGAGAAATCCCCTGGAATGGTGATGGATCCCATCAGGATCTTCTCGGGAGCTTCGGAGCACCAGGAACCGTGACTGGGATCCACCGGGATCCAGAATTTTCTTCCTGGGACAGAGAAATCAGATCCAAGACCTTCCCGATGGGATCCAGAACATTCCAGAGGGATCCAAGACCATCTCCGTCGATTCAGAACATTCCACGGAATTCCAGAAGCGTCCAGCAGGATCCAGAACTTTCCATATGGGACCAAACCCCCTCCTGTGGATCCAGAACATTCCTGAGGGACCCAAGGCAATCCCGGTGGATCCAGAAGATTCCACGGAATTCCAGAAGGATCCAGAACCTTCCAAATCGGACCGAGACCTTTCCTGATGGGACCCAAGGCCATCCCTGTGGATCCGGAACGTTCCTGAGGGATCCCACAACGCTTCTGTGGATCCTGAACATTCCATGGAATTCCAGAGCCTTCCAGAAGGATCCAGAACCTTCCATACGGGACCAAGATCCCCTCCTGTGGATCCAGAACATTCCTGAGGATCCAGAACATTCCATGGAATTCCAGAACTTTCCAGGGAGATGAAAGACATTCCCTGTGGATCCAGAACCTTCCATGGAATTCCAGAACTGTCCAGAACCTTCCATAGAGGACCAAAACCCTTCCCGTGGATCCAGAACTTCCCAGACAGGACTGAGACCATCCCTGTGGATCCTGGACATTCCAGAAGGCTCCAGAACCTTCCTGATGGGATCCAAGACCATCCCTGTGGCTCCAGAACATTCTATGAAACTCCAGAACCTTCCACAGAGATGAAGAACCTTCCCTGGAGATGAAGAACCTTCCATGAAATTCCAGAACTGTCCAGAACCTTCCATACGGGACCAAGCTCCTTCCTGGGGATCCAGAACATTCCAGGGGGTTCCAGAACCTTCTGCAGAGGACCAAGAACCTTCCATGGGGATCCAGAACATTCCTGAGGAACCCAAGGTCATCCCTGAGAGGTCGAGAACATTCCATGGAATTCCAGAACCTTCTATACGGGACCAAGACACTTCCCGTGGGTCCAGAACCTTCCATGAAATTCCAGAAGGATCCAGAACCTTCCATACGGGACCAAGACCCTTCCTGATGATCCAGAACATTCCAGGGATCTCCAGAACATTCTCGGTGGATCCAAAACCTTCCCTGGAATTCCAGAACTTTCCACGTGGATCCAGAAGCTTCCCAGTGGATCCCAGACTCCTCCTACAGATCCAGAACTTTCCATGAGATTCCAGAATCTTCCACAGCGATCCAAGGACCTCCCTACGGATCCAGAACATTCCAGAACTTTCCAAGTGCTTCCAGATGGACCAGGAACTTTCCAGAACTTTCCAGGTGCTTCCACAGGGATCCAGAACTTTCCAGAGCTCCAGAACTTACCATGAGGGTCCAGAAATTCCAGAACATTCCATGGATTTCCAGAACTTTCCAGATCGTCCGCAGAGATCCTAAAGCTTACCATGGAGGTGCAGGAATTCCAGAATTTTCTATGGAATTCCAGAACTTTCCAGATGTTTCCACAGGGATGCAGAAATCCCAGGACGTTCAATGGAATTCCAGAGCTTCCAGAACTTTCCATGGAGTGCAGGAATTCCAGAATTTTCTATGGAATTCCAGAACTTTCCAGATGTTTCCACAGGGATGCAGAAATCCCAGGACGTTCAATGGAATTCCAGAGCTTCCAGAACTTTCCATGGGGTTCCAGAGCTTCCAGAACTTTCCATGGGGTTCCAGAGCTTCCAGAACTTTCCATGGAATTCCAGAACTTCCAGACATTTCCAAGTGCTTCCACAGGGATCCAGAACTTCTCACGGAATTCCAGAACTTTCCATGGGGGTCCAGAACTTCCCACGGAATTCCAGAAATCCCAGAACTTTCCTGAGGGATCCAAAACTTCCAGAACTTACCGCGGAATTCCAGAACTTCCCAAACATTTCCAGGTGCTTCCACAGGGATCCAGAACTTTTCACGGAATTCCAGAACTTTCCATGGGGGTCCAGAACTTCCCCGCCCCCCCCCCCCCCCCCCGGAATTCCCGGATCCGTCGGGAAAAGGGGGAGGGGCCGGAATTCCGGGAAGGGGGGGGAGGGGCCCCTCCAAAGGCAATAAGAGCCCCCCCCCTCATTAGGGGAGGGCTCCAATCTTTAATTAATAATAATAATAATTAATGAGGAATAATTAATAATAATTAAGGAGCTTCCAGGCGTGGCAATCCAGGCACTTTGATCCCAAAAAATTCCCTAAAAAATTCCTAAAAAATCCCTAAAATTCCCTAAAATTTCCTAAAAAATCCCTAAAATTCCCTAAAAAATCCCTAAAATTTCCTAAAAATTCCCTAAATTATTTCCTGGAGCGGCTCAGGGTTTGAAACCCCTCCCCCTTCATTCCCAAAAATCCCCAAATTCCCAAAAAAATTCCCGAAATTCCCGTTTATAAAACACTATATTTGTATAAATGGCACCGTTTTTATCCCAAATTTTTTTTCCCTTTTTGTTTTTTTTTTTTTTTAGGGATCCAAAACTTCCAGAACTTTCCAGAGGGACCCAAAATCTCTAGAACTTACCGCGGAATTCCAGAACTTTCCAAACATTTCCAGGTGCTTCCACAGGGATCCAGAACTTTTCACGGAATTCCAGAACTTTCCATGGGGGTCCAGAACTTCCCACGGAATTCCAGAAATCCCAGAACTTTCCTGAGGGATCCAAAACTTCCAGAACTTTCCTGAGGGATCCAAAACTTCCAGAACTTTCCAGAGGGACCCAAAATCTCTAGAACTTACCGCGGAATTCCAGAACTTTCCAAACATTTCCAGGTGCTTCCACAGGGATCCAGAACTTTTCACGGAATTCCAGAACTTTCCATGGGGGTCCAGAACTTCCCACGGAATTCCAGAAATCCCAGAACTTTCCTGAGGGATCCAAAACTTCCAGAACTTTCCTGAGGGATCCAAAACTTCCAGAACTTTCCTGAGGGATCCAAAACTTCCAGAACTTACAGCGGAATTCCAGAACTTTCCAAACATTTCCAGGTGCTTCCACAGGGATCCAGAAATTCCAGAATTTCCGACGGAATTCCAGAACTTTCCACAGGGATCCAGAACTTTCCACGGAATTCCAGAACTTTCCAGAACCTTCCCAGGCCCCTCCCCCCCCCTCGGAATTCCCGGATCCGTCGGGAAAAGGGGGAGGGGCCGGAATTCCGGGAAGGGGGGGGAGGGGCCCCTCCAAAGGCAATAAGAGCCCCCCCCCTCATTAGGGGAGGGCTCCAATCTTTAATTAATAATAATAATAATTAATGAGGAATAATTAATAATAATTAAGGAGCTTCCAGGCGTGGCAATCCAGGCACTTTGATCCCAAAAAATTCCCTAAAAAATTCCTAAAAAATCCCTAAAATTCCCTAAAATTTCCTAAAAAATCCCTAAAATTCCCTAAAAAATCCCTAAAATTTCCTAAAAAATTCCTAAAATTTCCTAAAAATTCCCTAAATTATTTCCTGGAGCGGCTCAGGGTTTGAAACCCCTCCCCCTTCATTCCCAAAAATCCCCAAATTCCCAAAAAAATTCCCGAAATTCCCGTTTATAAAACACTATATTTGTATAAATGGCACCGTTTTTATCCCAAATTTTTTTTCCCTTTTTTTTTTTTTTTTTTTTTTTGCTGGTTTTGGGATGAGGGGAAAATTCCCAAAATTCCCCAAAAATTCCCCAAAAATTTGGGATTTCCCCTCCCCGTTCCCTCCTTTTTTGTCTTATTTAATCCCCTCCTCCCTCCCTTTCCCTTTCCCAGAAAATTTTGGTGGATAGGAATAAAAATTCCCAAAAAATTTTGTGGGTTTGAGTTTGGATTTTGGGGGGAAATGGGGAAATTTTGGGGGGAAAAGGGGAATTTTGGGGGGAAAAGGGGAATTTTGGGGAGAAAAGGGGAATTTTGGGGTCTCGGGGATCCATTCTGGGGTCACTTTTGGGGCCCAAATTTGGTTTTGGGGTCTCAGAGGTTCTGGGGGTCACTTTTGGGGTCCTGAGGTCACTTCTGGGGTCACTTCTGGGGTCCTGAGTCACTTTTGGGGTCACTCCTGGGGTCATTTTTGGGGTCACTCTTGGGGTCCGGGGTCACGAGTCACTTTTGGGGTCACTTTTGGTCCTGGGTCACTTTTGGGGTCATTTTTGGGGTCACTCTTGGGGTCCTGGGTCACTTTTGGGGTCACTCTTGGGGTCATTTTTGGGGTCACTCTTGGGGTGCTGGGTCACTTTTGGGGTCACTCTTGGGGTCCGGGGTCACTTTTGGGGTCCTGGGTCACTCCTGGTGTCATTTTTGGGGTCCTGGGTCCCTTTTGGGGTCACTTTTGGGGTCCGGGGTCACTTTTGGGGTCACTTTTGGGGCCTCAGGGATCCATCCAGAGTAATTTTTGGGGTCACTTCTGGGTCATTTTTGGGGTCACTCCTCGGGTCACTTTGGGGGTCCAGGGTCACTTTTGGGGTCTCAGGGATCCATCCAGAGTCACTTTTGGGGTCACTCCTGAGGTCATTTTTGGGGTCTAGGGGTCACTTTTGGGACCGCTCCTGGATCATTTTTGGGGTCACTCCTGGGGTTCTTTTTGGGGCCATTTTTGGGGTCACTCGTGGGGTCCTGGGTCACTTTTGGGGTCACTTTTGGGGTCACTCCTGGGGTCCCTCCTAGGTCACTTTGGGGGTCCAGGGTCAGTTTTAGGGTCACTCCTGGGTCACTTTTGGGGTCACTGTTGGGGGTCTCAGGGATCCATCCAGAATCATTTTTGGGGTCACTCGTGGGGTCACTTTTGGGATCGCTCCTGAGTCACTTTGGGGGTCACTTTGGGGGTCTCAGGGATCCATCCAGGGTTTTTTTTGGGGTCACTCCTGGGGTCACTGTTGGGGTCCCTCCTGGGGTCACTCCTGGGGTCACTCCTGGGTCACTTTTGGGGTCACTCCCGGGGTCCCTCCTGGGGTCACTCAGTCCAGCGGTGGCCGCAGTGCGGGGCCGTGCACACGTAGTAAAGCCTCATCGCGTCCTGCGGGATTTGGGGAAAATTTGGGGAAAATTCCTGGAAATATTCCCCAAAAACCTCCTGGGATCTTCCTCCCAAAAAATCCCAAAACCCCTCCCCAAAATCCACCCCCAAAAAACACCAAATCCCCCAAGACCCCTCCCCAAAATACCCAGAAAACTCCACCAAAAAACCCCGAAGTCCCCTGGAAATTCCCCCAAAATCTCCCCAGAATTCTCAAAGTCTCTTCCCAAAATTCTCTGGGACCCCTCCCCAAAAAACCCCAAAATCCTCTGGGACCCCTCCCCAAAAACCCTTTTGGAACCTCCCAAAAAAACTCCAAATCCCCCAAGACCCCTCCCCAAAAAAAACCCTGGAACCTCCCAAAAAAACCCAAAATTCCCAAAGACTCCTCCCAAAATCCCCTGGGACCCCTCCCCAAAAAACCCCAAAATCCCCTGGGACCTCCCCCAAAAAGCCCCAAAACCCCTCAAAACCCCAAAAGCCCCTGGGACCCCTCCCCAAAAAAACCCCAAAATTTCTTGGGACACCCTCCCCCCCCCAAAAAAAAAAACCAAAACCCCCCAAGTTCCAGAGAATTTTTGGGGTTTTTTTGGGTGGATTTTGGGGTGTTTTTTGGGAAGGATTTTGGGTTTTTTGTGAGGAGGATTTTGAGATTTTTGGGTTGTTTTGGGGAGGATTTTGAGAAGATTTTTGGGAGATTTTGGGGTTTTCTTAGGCAAGATATTGAGAAGATTTTGGGGATTTTTAGGGAGAATTTTGGGGATTTTTAGGAGTATTTTGGCTTTTTTTGGGGAAGATTTTGATGTTTCTTTAGGAGGATTTTGGGGATTTTTTGGGAGAATTTTGGGGTTTTTTGGGCAAATTTTAGGGTTATTTAGGCATGATTTTGGAGATTTTTTGGGAGAATTTTGGGGTTGTTTGGCAGAATTTTGGGGTTTTTTGGGAGAATTCTGGGGGGTTTTTGGGGGGATTTTTAGGAAGATTTTGGGGTTTTTTTGGAGAGAATTTTTGGGGTTGTTTGGGAGAATTTTTGGGGTTTTTAGGAGAATTTTGGGGTTTTTTTTGGGCAAACTTTAGGGTTATTCAGGGATGATTTTAGGGATTTTTTTGGGATAATTTTGGGGTTTTTTAGGGAAGATTTTGGGGTTTTTTTGGGTGGATTTTGGGGGGTTTTTGGGCAGATTTTGGGGTTTTTTGGGGTTTTGGTCTCACCTCGGCACGGGCGCTGTGCGACTGGAAGAACACGGCCTCCTTGTGGCCACACCTGCACTTTGGGGTTTTTTAGGGAAGATTTTGGGGTTTTTTTGGGTGGATTTTGGGGGGTTTTTGGGCAGATTTTGGG